AAATAAATAAATAAAGTTTAAAAAAAAAGTTAAAAATAGAACTACCCTATGATCCAGCAATTGTACTGCTAGGTATTTATCCAAAGGACACAGTGATTCGAAGGGGCACATTCACCCCAATGTTTATAGCAGCAATGTCCACAATAGCCAAAATATGGAAAGAGCCCAGATGTCCATAGACAGATGAATGGATAACATGTATATGTATATATATGTATACACACACATACACAATGGACTATTACTCAGCCATCGAAAAGAATTAAATTTTGCCATTTGCAACAATGTGGATGGAACTGAAGGGTATTATGCTGAGTGAAATAAGTCAATCAGAGAAAGACAATTAACTATATGGTTTCACTCGTGTAATTTAAGAAACAAAACAGATGAAAATAGGGGAAGAAAAGGAAAAATAAGATGAAAACAGGGGGAAGCATATCATAAGAGACTACAGGAAACAAACTGAGGGTTTCTGGAGGGGAGGTGGTGGGTGGGGGGATGGGGTAATTGGGTGATGGGCATTAAGGAGGGCAATGAAGTAACGAGCACCGGGTGTTGTATGCAACTGATGAATCACTAAATTTTACCTCAGAAATTAATAATACAATGTATATTAGTTAAATTGAATTTAAATAAATTTTTTAAAATTACCTTTATCCAAGACATGGAAGCAACCTAAGTACCCATCAATAGACAAATGGTTAAGGAAGATGTGGAATTATGTTTACAATGGAATATTGTGCAGCAATAAAAATGATGAGATCTTGCTATTTGTGACAACATGGATGGACCTAGAGGGTATTATGCAAGTGAAATAAGTCAAACTAAGACAAATACCGTTTGAATTCAGTCATGTGGAATCTAAAAAAAAAAAAAAAAGTGAATAAACAAGCAGAACCAGACCTATAGAGAACAAACTGATGGTGGCCATAGGGTGGGGGGAAGGAGGATGGGCAAAATAGGTTAAAGGAAATGGGAGATACAGGTTTCATTATGGAATGAGTATATCAGAGGAGTAGAGAAGTTAATAATATTGTTACAGCATTGTATGGTGATAGATGGTAGCTACACTTGTGGTGAGCATAACATAATGTATAGAGGTTGAATCACTATGTTGTACACCTGAAACTAATGTTAACATTGTGGGTCAACTATATTCATATTATTTTTTTTTAAAGATCACCTTTATTAAGTCAAGGGAAGCAATATAGTTAAGAGATTAAAGGTATGGGACCTGTTCATAGGTTTCCCCATTTACCATTTAACTGTCATGATGCTCCATCATTTGGCATAATTCCTAAGAATGGTCTCAAGTTCCTTCAACTGGTATTCCTGGCCCCCTTCATCTTTTTTTTTTAAAGTATGGTGACTAACATAATAAAATAAAATTTAAAAAAAATAAATTTGCACCGTTAACTATCAATTTTTATGCCTAATCATTGTGAACAGAATGGCTGGCTCAATTTTAGACCCAACTTAAATTATAAAATTTTCAATTTGAAATGGTAGAAGGTTGGCGATGTCTACTAGTCCCAGTAACATTATCTGAGGAAATAATCCCAGAAATAACTGAGGAAAACGTCTCATAACCAAGGGTAATAAAAGAGTAACTGGACAGGAGGCACAAGTTAATCTGTGGGTGTGACTTTGGCCTAGAACAAAACATGACTAGGAGCACAGTGATCACCTCATCCTTATCCCATAGAAAATACAAAAACTGGAAAATACTACCATATGCTTTGACATTTTCTAAATATTCCTGCTGCCCCTTTAAAACTGCCATATCCGACCTTTCCTCATTAAGCGGAAGACATGGTGCTTTTCACTTCCTCTCCATAAGAGGACTGTAACAGAATTTTGAGCACCGATGGTATCACAAACCCAGGAGTAAGCAGAGCAAAATGACAAGGAGACTGGTAAGTCAGCCCATGAGGGAATCAGAGCTGCCAATGGAGTCAGAGTCTCATTAGACAGCCAAAAATAACCTCAGCAAGAACTCTTTCTTAACCTCTCCACTTTTCCCCCACCAACTTATCCCTGTCCCACACACCTAGCCTTGCAGGGAAATGAAAACAAACAGCAAGGACTACCTAGGTCCATTCCCTTCCAGAAGCAACACACCATGATATGGGTCAATTTTATCACCTGACACCCTACTCATTTATAACATGGTTATTATAATGAGTTCTCCAGGCATCAGTATTATAAGCACATGTACTTAAGTCACTTACCCCATAATGACTTAAGACTTTCTTCAAAGACAGTATGTCACTTTGTCAAAAAGGAGTATAAACTCTTGCCTATAAGCACTATAAGGAGTCATATGCCTATGAAGTCACCAATCTAATATTTGGGTATTTAGCCATTCAGAATTCTAGGAACACCAAAGATCCATTCCCCTAGTCAGGATTCTTTAATTATAGTCATTTCCTACCTGAAAATATCTTACTTCCCACCTCCTTCAAAAAGTTTCGTTATGCCTTACTCCTCTACCACCCCCATACCTCAATAGTTTTTTGCTTCTTTTTTTCTATTGGGTTTGTACTTCTCAGTATCCCTGGCCAAAACAACTGAAGGAATAAAGAAATGAGACCTCAAACCATTTATCCATGGTGGGTGATTAAGGTAGTTAAAAAAAAAAAAGAGAGAGGGAGAGATTACTAGTGTACCTAGGAACACTGAGGTAGAACTTATCACATCAAAATACAAAACTTTCAAAACAGTACATTTTATTTGACATTAGACAACATTCCCCAATTTTTCTCAGTTGTGACATGTAGATGGCTTTAGATTGTTTTTGTGGTCACCCATGCTGAGCAAGATTTTTCAATCTTCAAAACACTCAAAGCTAAAAAATTCTGCATTTCACATCAGTTCACAAGTCCAAGTGTATCTTCCCATTTATTGGAGCATTTGACATAGATTCCTTTTTAGGTAGAAAGGTAGAGACGAAGCCATTTTCTTTAAAAACGGATTTGTCCACAATTTCATTTATGCCATAAAAATCAGATGGCAGCATGTTCTTATTCTTATCAGTAGCAGTAGTCTTAAGATGCCAGAAACTGTGAAAGGAAGGCTTTTAGTTACTTTCTCCTTTCCAATTTCCAGTAATGTAATCCCCGACCCCAACCTGAAAATAAGAGTGTTACAGAATCCAGCTGATACCACATATTAAAAGCCAAACATTAGTATTTAGTTGATAAACATTTAGTCCAAAATTGTTTCTCAAAAACTACTGTGTCTTCATCTCAACAATGGCCAGTTATTGGAATTGCATTAAACTAAAAAAAGCAATCCCCTAGTTTGATTTGGAGGTAGTAATGTTCTTAAAACCAATCCAAAACACAAGCAGGCTGCCCTTAAAACTGGTTTGACCTTCTCTTTCACTCTTCCTCCTAATCCCACCCTCTGTGAGTGATTTAAAAATAGAAAAGGTCAAAGCCCAGTTGGGCGCTAGATTGAGGATTTTTTTATTGTTTACCTCCAGTTTTTGCCAATTACTTCCAATTTCTATTATTTTATAATTTTAAACATGGTAAAATTAAGCTATTTTTATTCACTGACATAATTCCACTATAAGAGATCCTTTCTTGAACATGTTTTGATGGTGAGATTTCTAAAGATTAAGTTGCAAAGCTGTTGCAAAAGAGAAATTATGTCTCTCCCATTATGTTATGTACCATCTGAAGATTGTTCTTAAAAGAGATTTAGGCAGTGTATATTTGTCAGAATGTAAAATGTAAAGAACTAAAAGCAAATAAAACTGATAAATGTGTTTCAAAACCAACTGTGGCTTGAGTATGAGTGTTTCCCCAAGGCTGGTACCAATGAGACTGGGGTTTGGGAATTAGTTGTTTCTCATCCCTCCTTCTGCCTAGCAGTGGTCACAGCCATTTTTTCTGAGGGATGGGCCAAGAAAAATAAAGTAATTCTACTATAAGGACAGTTCCTCACACTTAAAGAGCTAGCTCAATAGAAAACCCTGCTTACTGTAGTGGCCAGAGTGGTAGAAGAAACACAGAACAGGAATTAAAACCTACAACATTATTAAGGGACTAAGCCATGCCCCTAATCAGAAAACAGGCCAAAAGCAAAGTTTTAAAAGTTCTATAGGAAAGCATTCATTTTTTCGTGTCTCTGAGGAGAACTGGGAACATAGCAAAAAACCTTATACATAAAAGGCACTCAAACATACTTGTAGAATGCATAAATGAAGAAATGAACAGTAACCTCTTATATCCTAGTCTCCAAGCTAATAAAAAATCAGTTTCTTTCAGTCATGATCTTTTTTGTTTTCTGTCTAGCAACAGAATACCTTTAAATAGACACTTCCATTTAAGGAAGAATTTCATTCCATTTTTTGTGTTGTTTTGTTTTATTGCATCTCCAAGATAAACTAAGTGCATTTTATACCAGATCTGTTCCAATTTAACATCACCTTCAGTATTAGTATGAATTAATAGAAAGCCCTCTCTTATTCCCACTCTACAAAACATGCCAAAGAGAAGGTGGTCACTTGTTCTTAGTGTCTTAATATCCTAGCTGCTCAATAACATTTATTCAAGTAATAAAAGAACTGCAGTCTCTTATTAAATTTGTTCTTGTGTTTCCACCATAGACTATTGAGATTAAATTACATTTTGGTCTAGGACTTTTATTTCTTAATTCTCAGCATCTGAGAACAGTACTTTATTCAGGGTAAATAAATTTTTACAAAATATGGAAAATGTAGGGAAAAAAATCTGCTCAAGTGGCTTCCTGACTCTAAGCCAGGTCAATGAGCAAATATTTTTAAAACCAGTTATTTCATCTTAATTCTCATCTTAAATCATTCATCTATAATAAAAACAGAGTATTAAAGTAACGAATAAAAGGACAAGTCCTAAGCGCCCTTGTATCAGTCTTCGGGCTTCAAACTAGGTCAATGAGCAAGTGACATTGAGACTTTCTAGAACTAGAAATAATGTCTTCATTTAATATTAAAAGAACCATGCCTTATTTTTCTATTTTTTTAATCTCCAAGGCATGTCAATGTGCATTTTCTGGACCAGACCCACTTAACTAATTTTTCTAGCATAATACGTTCCGGAGAACAGGCACTCAAATATTTGCTCAAAACTCAGTATTTTCTTATCTTCATCCATAATCTGTATTCTAATGCCCTTTAGACTTGGCCCATTTCACTTCTCTTAGGACCTAGAACGAGGTCTTTCATCTCAAATGAATCTAAAAACAAAGCCATTTGCTTTTTACTCCTGAGTCATTTATTTTTACTCCTTTAATGACTCAAGCCAGACCAGGGTGGATTGAATTCACTTCCACCTTCAGCATTCAGCATTTTAAAGACTGAGAGAACTGTAACACCTTGCTTTTTAAAAATATTTCCCATCTCTTCAGCCAGGCCAGGGAGCAAGTACACCTCTGATTCAGATTTTATCTTTCCACAGAGGTCAGCATTTAGCATACTGCCTGGCACAATTCCATTTTCCCCATGTTTTTATTAAATAAGCTTTGCAGTGCTTAAGTAACTTTTAGTCTGGATCTCCCACCTATTTGCTTATTTCCTCCAATGAACACCCCATAAGGATAAAATCATTTTCGTATCGTAGGGCATGGACAGTTCTGAGCCTCATAGAAAGTAACCAGTAATCATTCATTAAGCCAAATTATTTCCTTATATCTGTATAGAACAGTAGGCTCTGTAAATTTGCACATCTCTGATAACGAATTTTTGCATCCCCACTTGCTATCTCTGGGGATAAAAGAGAGTAAATAATCAATGTTCACTCAGCAGATATTGTTTTGGCAGTATAAAACTTATAAATTGATTTTATACATTATCTGCTGCTACCCAGGACACAATAAAGATGGTCTAATTTCACATCGCCAATGACTTATGAGATTGGCACATAATAGACAATTATTATCCAGTTTTATATTTATCAGATATTTAATCCTTTATATATTACATTCAGAGTGTTCAAGAGGTAATTTTTCCTCAAAAATTTTTCAACTTTTTTCATAGTATAATGATGACTGCAATATAATTTTATAAGCCTAGTACTCAGCACCAAATTAGAAAATAAGTAGTTAAACTTATAAGGTGCTTTAGAGTTTCCAAAATACTACACATGTATTGCCTTATTCTCAGCTGTAAGCACAATGAAATGATAAGTCTATCTCTTTAGTGCCTATAATAGTGAGTTTACCTAGTGAGCAACTGATGATATTCATTCATTCAACAAGTATTTAAACCCTCAGTTTGTATAACTGTTTATACTACCTTCATCATAGTCAAGCACACAATGAGAATTTTGTACAGAAAATGCCTATCTCACAGAAAGTTTTATTCACACAGAAAATAGATAATGTCCTATATTTATAGAGCACTTTAGAAAGTGCAAGGGCGATCTCAATCATTACATTTTCCCGTCACCTGGTAAAATACACTGATCATTTAATTTGACATGACCAGTAAAGTCTTGATTAAAACAAGCAATATCTAATTCCTTATATCTAAATAGTCTCGGACATAAACCTCCCTCTTATTACATGGGAGCATTATTTTAGATTTCACAGTACCCAAACAGTACCGGGCCCATAAAAGGAAATTAATATTCATCCATTCATAAACATGTAACCCACTGGCTTTTATATAGTGCTTTAGTATATAAAGCACTTTAACATGCACCTCATACTCTGAAATTTTTAATTCCATAATGAGAACACTTCTTTTCCCTTTGACATCTGTAGCACCTACCATGGTATCCGGCACATTTTAAGGGCTCACAATAGTTTAATACCCTGTGCTTGCAGTATATTTTATGGTTTCAAAGCAGTTTCCATGTGTTTGCTTCTCTGCTACCTGGAATACTGTATTTTTACCTAAAAATTACCAGAGCAGCAGAAACACGATAGCCACAAATATAGGAGTTATTCATTTTTCAAACAATTCCTAGTATCTGCATAGTATTATATAGTTTTGACAAAGTACTTTATTCAGGCTTCTTTTAGAATATAGATACTATGTAATCAATATTCATTCATCAACTCTGAAACTCATAAATCTTTAAGTGCTTTATAGTTTACAAAGCACATTCACATATTTTTCTTCAAGTCACCTGGATGTGATCATAAATAAATATTGCATCCTTAGTACACAGGGACAGGCATACAGAAATATTATTATTCAGCACATAGTCCCTGGTATTTACATCAGGGGTGATAAAAACTATGGCCCCCAGACTAAATCTACTTGGTTCACCAGCTAAGAATAGTTTTTCCTTTTTAAAGGGTTATAAAGGAAAAAAATGTGTCAGAGACCATATGGCCCACAAAACCTAAAATATTTACCATCTGACCCTTTATGGAAAGTGTGTGATGACTCCTGATTTACATAATGCTTCACAACTGACAGTGCACTTTAAATGTTAGCTGTGCATGGCTGCCAATATACTATTAATGAGAATGCCTTGTTTTTTCTGTGCTTTACAGTGCTTTCACATATATTCTCAGTTATTTAAATTATCTGCCCTCGTGGTAAGGGGGGAAAAATCAAGGAAAGGATTAAACCTGCTAATATTCCCAAGTTCTCTCACCTTTAAGCCTAGAGGTGGGTATTAAACCCAGGAGCAGTGCTAGCACAATCTACCAAATTATTAGGCCACTACTATAAGCAGGGAGTTCAAACTGTCTCTTTGGAGCCTCACTCCATCCCAGGCCCAATCATTCATTTTGTAACCATTACTAGGAATCCCAAACCCCAAGAATCCTGCTCACCCAAGCTCAAAGAAGAAAGGTGTTGCAGGCTGGTGCTTCTCAACAGGATGGCACATCTGGGTATTTCTTGTCTAATTCTTCTCATTGGCCTGGAACATCTCTTCACATTTCCTCTAGATAGCCTGGCACTTTTTTTCCCCCAACAGCCTGATGCTTGCCTTTGCTCATCAGGCTAGAGCTTCTAAGGAAAAGGGAGGACTGAAATACAATGTTACCTATATGTGTCTCTCAAGGAGCAGAGGTGAAGAGAAATGGAAATTTAAAAAATAAACAATAAATGGCTCAAAACTGTGATAAAATTTGGCTTAAGACTGGCCCAAGCATAATATTGCCAATCTAAAGATACGTTTCCTAAGGTAAGAGCAACATCAAAAAGGGCTCCTCAAAAGAAGTGGGCTTAAATGAAAACATAAGAACTGGAAAGGGAGAACTGAAAATGTCAAGGGGTAGGGAGGGCAGCAATAGAAAGAAGCTAGGGTTTAGTGTTTTCATCTTGGGATTTCCTTTGGTCTTGGGGCTTCTATTCTTCCCAGATTCTGTGTCATGGGCTTCCAGCTTCCCACCTAATTTAGCCTTGAGACATCTTTCTCTCTTCGGCCTTCTGTCCATTTAGACAGGCAGGAGTCCTGGGTCTTTATGTGTGTCTGGGGCCTTCCATCCTGGATCTTAGGTTTTTATCTCAAGTCTTAGACCTTGTGTCTTAGGTCTCAAGCCTTCCATGGGTCCCCACACTTAGGCCTACAGTCTCCCACTCTGGGTCTTTGGACTTCTAACTCAAGATTTGAACTTTCCATCCAACTCAGTCAGGTCTTCTCTCCAACAAGAGCCACCTTTTTACATCATAGCTGTCAGGGCTTTGTTGGTCTCAAGCCTGAGGATTCCATCTATCTTGAAACACAGGTTTTCCATGTTTGTCCTCAGGTCTCAAGTCTCAAACCATTGGGCCTTCTATCCATTCTGGGTCTTCCACCTTCTGTCCATCATAGGTCTTAGATCATCTCACAAGGTGTCCTGGCATAACGAACAGCTCTGCATGATTTTGATAGCTGGCACTCTGTACCTATTGGGAAGGGGTTAGGAAACCCCTTTGTTACAAACACACACACATGACCACACAGATGCACAAAAATATGCAAGGAGAGAGGACTGCATAAAGTCAAAGAGGGGGGAACACAGACACATATAGAGACTGAAATACTCAAAGGTAAGCAGAAGGGGAAAAGCAGAGAAGAAACAAGAGAACAGAGATGAATGCTGAAATGGTAAATCACAAAGAACAGAGATGAATGCTGAAATAGTAAATCACAAAGAACAGAGATGAATGCTGAAATGAAAAATCACAAAGAACAGAGATGAATGCTGAAATGGAAAATCACAAAGAACAAAGAGACACTTAGCAGGGGGAAAAAAGACAGAAAATGGCCAAGAGAGGCAGAACAAATATATAGAAAAGAGAAATGTGAGACAATGAGTAGAAAAAGCAGAAGGGAAGCCAGAATGAGAAAAAGGTGAAACGTCAAACCAACAACAAGGGGAAGGGAAGACGAACAATCAAGAGTTCACAACAGTAAAAGAAGAGAGGTATAGGCAGAACAAGAAATGAACAAAAAGCACACAGCATGTGACTCAGAGACAAAAAGGGAAGAACAGTGAAAGAAGAGCCAGTTCTAGGAGAGTAAAGAGAATCAGTAACAACAACAACAAAAAAACTAGAGAGAGACATCTAAGACAAGGCACAGACCACTCTTAGGAACAAAAAACAAAATGAGACAAAGATACAGAGAAGAAACTAGCAAGAGAATCATGGGATGGCTAAGACACACTTTAGACAGAGAAAGACAACCAAAGAGATTCAAGAAAGAAATAGACAAGCAAAGACATACACACTTATGAGTGAAAGAGATAAGCAAAGGCAGACATTCAGAGGAAGAGGATAAGTAAAGACAAGATACAGTACGGGGCACAAAAGGCATATGAGAAGCATCACAAAAAGAAGACAACAAAAGAAAAACAAAAAGTACATTAATAATTACAATTAGCTATTATTAGTACCAATACTATGTATATTACTAACAATAATAATTATAATAACAGCCACCAACTTAGATGTTTCTTATTTATAAACTCTTACCTTACAAATTTCTTACATAGAACCAAAATATGCCAACTCTGCCGGCCATTAGATGGCATTTGTGGTCACTTGTATTGTGCCAAATGAACTTATAAAACTTCTTGGGTTACCTTTTACTTACCATGGGCCAAACACTGTACTGAACACTTTACATACATGATTTCACTTAACTGTCACCTACAAGTCTAACCAAAAACTCTAAATTAACAAAGGCCATACACCTAATGAGTGGCAGAAGATTTAAACACAGAATGTGTACTTTTAATATTCTGCTTCAACTGTTTACAAGGATTTCCAAAAGAGCCAAACAAGATGCCACACATGTATGAATATTATAATAAAGGGCCCTTAGAGAGCATCTAGTCAATCACCTCACTTTATATCTTCGTTTTTCTCCATCCTTTAAAAAACTAACTTCATTTTCACATGCTTCACAACTATAATGGCAGCTTCATGGACTGGGCTTCCTTTAACACTAAATCTTAACTGCAGATAGTTTCTTTCACAAGAGGAGGTGAGAAAGAGCCATTCTTTCAGGAAAAACAAAAAACAAAAAACAAAAAAACCCTCTTTTTGTTTTAGGCTTCCACAGTTTAGGCCTCTAAGAGTGGCAAAGCATTTATGCAGTGAGGACAAAGAAGAGACAAGGTGAGACTCAATTACTCGGACACAACTGGTACGCAGACTGTAATATCTTTGAATTGCTTCAGTGAACCCAGTTGGTAATACAGGTTACTGGTTATCCTCACATCTCACCTTGGCACCCCCTCCATGTTAGACCATCATGCCTCATCCCATACAAACCTACAACAAACAGCTATGAGCTCTAAAGTGAACCTCACAGGATTACAACACCAACAACTTACTTCATTCTGCTGTTCTAAAATGGTAGCATGCCAGGCATGTTGATCTTCCTTTGGTATGTTCCACTTTCTTGCACTCTGCACTGCTTTTGGGAGACAGTGATTTGGCAGATAAGAAGGGAACAATCAGGAGCTATAAAAAATGAGAGGGAAACCATGTAAATGCCATATAAAAGTATTCACTGAGTACTGTGCAAGAGTTATGGGAAGATCCAAATTAATGAGCTATAGAAAACTATCTCTACAAAGCTTAGAAACATAAAGTTGAAGCCTTTAAGTCCTTAGATAAAACTAATACAAGTTCTTTGTTCAAAAAAACAGGAAACTATGGCAATCATAGGAAAATGTCTTGCCTAATAACACTTAGTGAGTCACTGGAAACACCATCAATCACAGTCTTAGTCTTTTGGTTGAATAATCTGTATAAAATCTGTATAATTAGGGTTTACTACTTACTGAATGGTTACCTCCATCTCCCAACCTGCACCCCCCAATCAGCTTCTCTTATCACCAACACAGAGTATGCAAGGTCCTGGTTCTTACCTGACAACAGAAACTTTGTGCCATTTCTGGTCAGGTTCCATTAATCAGCAAGTATACAATTCCTATTTATCTTCTCAAACAGCTTGTTTTGTGTTTTATCCCAAAGACATCCTAAGCCATCTTGAAGTATGTAAATGATTGTCAAAATTCCCCAACAGGGCCTCAAGAAAGACTCTGGGGACCAGAGGGTCCAAAATGGTGATCTGCCCATGATCAAGGTTACAGATGTGGCACTTGTTGCCCATGTTCTCCTAAAAGAAAGAATAATTTAGCTGTAAGTTTCTACCACACACTAGTCCCACCCTAAATATCCTAACTCACGCAGCCTGCTACTCTCTTCACATCATTTTCACCCATTTCACACACAGTTAGTTAGGAAGCTATTTTTACCAAACCAGACACAGTCGATAATGATGGAAACAATCTCAGTGGAAAGCTATGTGCAGCATAAAACAAGGTCAGAATTAATAGCTATTAGTTATGCTTTTAGAGACAACTTACCCACCTCTGATGGGTGGTGGTTGTTTTGAGACTTCATCTTCCTCCCTGGGCCCAGGGAAGAATCTTGGTAGAACCTCCTGGCCTAGGGTTGTTGCCCAGTGGTAGTGAGCTTTTCCCCTGGAGGATCCTCATGCCCCATCTCCACCTAGGGATCGTCAAAGGGAACGGGTCACTAACACTATAGAGCAACAAGCCTATTCTTCTGAGGAAGATCTGGAGAAGAGATCAAAGAAAAGTAAGTTACTGAAATGCAGAACACTGGGAAAGTCTGCCCCAATTAGCAACTAGTAGTTAAATTAAACAATGTCTACCCTTTGCTTCAGATGGATTGAGGGGTGAAGATTTAGTGCTCTATATCCTCGCTACGAGCCTAGCAACACATAAATTCTTCTGTTTATTCCAGCTCCATTCCTTGCACCTCCCCTCATCTCCAGGAGCAATTTAGAGCTGATTACCAAATTCCCATACTGTGCTTTATTCTTCAGTCTCCACTGATGAGCATTTCCCTAGAGGGTATTATTAATACCCTGGTATTCTCATCATAAAATAGTGGAGTTCAAGAAATTAAGGAGTTGAAAATAGTAGAAATAAAGTTTTCTCAACCAAGTGAGCCAATCAAGTCACTTAGAAAAGCTCCCATGTGATCTGACCCTATGGGTTAAGAATTCTTCTTCACATTGCCTCAGGCTTCTTTTATAAAGCAGTATTTTAAGAACTGAGTGATCTACCTCAATCAGAGGGCCTCTCATTCTATTTTATTTTTATAGCATTCCCCTCTTTTAAAACTTGTATGTCAAGCAGTAAGTTGCTGGAGCATTGCCAAGGTAAACAAAACTGTTTTCTACTCAATCCACATGGTACATTTCTTGAACTCTTATGTAAATGGGGCACCACCAGAGTCCCAGGATATTCAGAGAAGTCAAGAATGGTTACAGGCATATAAAACACCAGTTATTATAACAGTTAAGCAAATCTATGCAAAAGGAAAAAAGATACAGAAAGCTAGGAAACCAATAAATAGCTTACACAGACCCTTGGGTCTTTGTTTTTCCACCTTTCAACAATTTTATGATTCTTCAAATTAAAAAACCCTCAAGTTTTGTTTTTGTTTTTTTGAAAGCGAGCAAGGAGGGAGGTTGGGGGGGGCGGGAAGGGACAGAGGGAGAGGAGAGAGACAATCTTTAGCAAGCTCCATGCCCAGTGTGGAACCCAACACAGGTTTCGATCATTCTCACAACCCTGAGATCATGATCTGAGCCAAAACCAAGAGTCAGAGGCTTAACCAACTGAGCCACCCAGGTACCCCAACCCTCAACTTTTTAAAACAAGAAAATGACAGTGACAATAGAATTGGGCCTGCCAAATCAGGGCTTTGACACATATTGAGTTGGTACTTTGCATCAACAAATCCACAACACTTAACTACCAGTCTGCTAAAGGAAGGTGGAAATAATTTCAAGGGCTGCTAATCAGATATAGGTTTGTTTGATCTTTCCTGCTAAGTAGCTTTGAGATGTGAATGGAAGTAATTTATTGTTTTGCATCTCTCATTCTTTGTTTATGAAATGGGGATCAAGTATGCTTGTCCTTACAGACCTCACTGGAGCCTAACTCAGAGGGATAAATGAAATGATAGGCCAAACTCATCTGTAATGTTAAAATATATATGTATATGCAAAAAAAAAACCACTGTAGGAATTGATAAAAACTGGCTCATTTTCTGTTTTAAAAAGTAGAGCAGCAGGAAGTTAAAGTCTATAAAGCCAAAGACAGAATTCCCACAACGATGAGCTCCCCAAACTACCTTTTTTCCCCCAGGTGGCTTGATAGCCATCATTTTAAATATTTGGAGCTTATCCAGATTCTCAAAAAGAAAGATCTGCTGAATGTGAAGCTGCTTACACCTACTTGCAGTCCTCAGGTTTCACATGCTCTGAATGTCCTTGAGAAGAAAGACAGGGCTCAGGAGGTTACCAGAACTGCTGAGAAACCTTCAAAAACAAACAAACAAACAAAAACTAGGACGCATTAACCTGAAGTATTAGATATAGGCATGTCCTGTCTCTCCTCTTTAGCCTATCTGGTCTCCCTAAGGTCTTATAAGAGCAAGGACTGGCAGTATCACAGAAGGATTAGGCAAGTGCAGAAAAATAAAAGAAAACCATGGGTCAAACCCATATTTTTATATGGGTTTATATACCCACCTTAAGGGCTAACCAAATTTGTGGCCTCAGGGTCATCCTTTTGCTGAAAATATAAGATACAAGGTAGCAGACCAACTGCTACGACTACCTTAAAGTACAACTGCCTTGATCTTTTTTACTAATTCACTAGTCACCTTTACAACAGGATAGGAGCTCACTGAAGCAGGTCTAAGCCAGGTTTGCAATCCTGAAAGCACTTTGTATGGTGTGGAAAGCAGCAGGTATGGTTTCCAGATTCCTGATCAGGAATTCCCTTATTATAAGGACCTTTATATCAATATCAAACAAGTTCTAACAGTAGTGTATGAAAGGTCAGTTATTCAACTCTACTCTCTAGATAAGATGTCCAGTGAAACTAGTGTTCTATGATGTTCTCAATATGAGCAGAACAGGCTTCAAAATCTCTTGGCAACATCCTTCCCCATCTTTATCTTATTTAAGATTAGATACTTTATCTCCAAATATGGACTTCCAAGTTAACCATGGCAGTTCATACATATTTATACATATTTATTCTGCTCCTTCCTGAAATCCCATTAATGACAGTAAATGGACACTCCATGTACAAGCAAATTTACCCAAAGAATTTTTAAATTAATGGATTGAAGTACAAATTCATTTATACACACCCTAGTTAAGATACCTAAAAGGAAATGACTATTCCAGTCTCCCCAGATCTTCTGAGCTGCTCTGAACCATATTTACTGAGTATGGCTGCTTTAGTTCAAAGCCTTCTAGTTTTGTTTGTTGTTATAGTGATGAAATATTCAAGGAGATTCCCTCTCCCTTAAAGGGAAACTAAGGCCAGAGAAAGTGGTCACATTTTGGAACTGGCACAGAACCATATATTAGGGTTCCATATTCATTGACAAGAATTTTGAGATTCCTGATTTGTCATCTCATAGTTCAACAAAATGTCAAAATACTTTAGACATAAAAACCAAGTGGCATACCTGACCATCTGGTTCAAGTACTCTAACACTAGCCAAGTCACAGAAGCATCACAGCTAAAAAAGGGTATTAATGATCATGTAATCAGACATTTTCATTCTTTACATAAAGAAACTGGAAGCCCTGAAGATGAGACTCCATCAGTGTTATACAACTAGTAAGTAGGTGGCTAAGTGGTACTTAAATCCATGTCGTCTCTCAATTCAGGTTTTTTGCCTCTGGGATATGGGCAAGGACACTCAGAGGTATAGGAGGTTTCTATAAAATTTTTTAACATTTTTATATTTCACCATGAAAACAGTCTAGATCATCTAGATGACTACCTTATAATGGAGAATTCCAGTGCCAGATTGGTGGCAAGTGGTACTATTTTTGTTGCCTAGAGCTTAAAGAACAGAAGAAACCAATATATAAATGAGGTTTGTGCCAAATGAAAAAAAAATAGCATTGGTATGTGCTATAACAAGATCTTGCTGCAGCTTGAAAAGGATAATTTGGTTAAGGGCATTAACAAAGCACATGAAAGAGGAGACATGCCATGCTACAAAGAAGCAATGTGGTAATAGTACCATTTACCCATTTTAGTAGCCATTTATTTACTATTATTTTGCACATTTGCTGTGTTTTACAGTTGTACTATAGACCTAAGCAGAAAGACTTTCTTCTTATTTTGTTCATACCCTTAGCTTAAAAATTATTTCCATGAACTCAAAGGGACGTAAGAACTTTTTTAAGGAAAAGCTTAATCAAAATTACAAAAAAAATGTTTACTCAAATTACAGCAAAATGGTAATTGTAGAATCTAAGAGAGGAGCATGTTGGTGTTCACTGAACAAATTTTTCAACTTTTCTGAAGATGTTCATAATAAATTTTGGAGGGAAAAAAGGAAAACTTTGAGACAACAGCTCCCTACTGTCAAACTTGTTATACAGATTTCAGAAAGTATCTCAAATATTTGACATAAAATATTAAAATTATGCCCAATATAAATTTGTATTATTTTGTTACTACTCTATATGCAATACCTGTAACATTAATCAGAACACTTTAAAATTAGCATATATTAGCTTGAATAAAATCAAATAAAATTAAACTGTTGAAAATCGCAATTGGATTACATATTGCCAAGAAATAAATCTACTCTTTGAGTGATATAGGTACTTTGGACAACTAGCTGGAGATCACTAAATGGATTCTCCCTACCTCACATAGGAACACGTCTTTCTCCTTCCTCCCACCTCCAGTGTTCTCAAGATACTGTAATTATCAGAAAAAAAAAACTGAGAAAATAAATGCATAACCAAGGAACAGATTACCTAACTGTATCAGAGTAATTTAATCTGAAAGTGAGGTGCAAATTTGGAAATTGGGTAGATCTTAGTTCTTAAGAAAGGTTTGTTTCTGTAACCTATTATAAGTTTCAAAACTAAAAGAAACATCAGGAACTCTTAGTCATTTTTAGTTTCAGGAACTTTTAATCAACCTATACCTAAACTCTCCCTAAACTCAACCACAGAGACAACTGTCAGTGTTCTCACCTACCCTAACATGAACATAAAAAAAATCTCCCAACCAAGCCAGGTTGTTGGGAGTGGGAAGTAACAGATAAGCAAAGGATACTATTAATAATTCCTGGGGTAATAGAGCAGAGTTGGAAACATCTGTATAAACCCATGTTTAGCTTAAAATAGATACAGATTATTACATATACAAATATTAATAAATACATGCATGAGTTAATATGCATGCGTATACCTCCTCATTCTTATCAACTCAGGTGTTGAAGCAATGACACCCCAGTAGCAATGAGCACACATAACACTCACATCTTGATTTTTTTTTAGAAATGTGTTTCTTTTTTTTAATTATGTTCAGTTAGCCACATAATTAGTTTTTGATGTAGTGTTCAATGATTCATTAGTTAAGTATAACACCCAGTACTCATCACATCTTGATTTCTAATACTGTTCTCTAATAAGAAGAATCAGGAGTCCTTGAAGACACGGTAGATCCTAACACGGTAGATCCTAGGACTGGGATAAGAAAGATACAAATGAGCCCAGAGCATCTTGGTAGTGCCAGAAAGAAAGAAAGTGCTCAAACAAAAAAAAGAAACCCACAAGGATGGGGTTATGTCCAACGAGCCAACTGAAAGAACTCCCAAAGGCCAAAACTAGAACAATCTGAACAAAAATAAGTAGTAATGAATTATTATCAGAATATAAATATTCATGAAACGATATTGATATAAATGAATTCTCAAATAAATACATAATTTAGGAAGACCAGACACATTTCCTGTGCAGAAGAAATCTAAATAACTTATGTAGACACTCAACCATCAAAGAGGTGGAGGATAACTCCCCATTCTTTAAGCACATCTGGCCTCCCTTCAAATACAGTATGGGAAGGGGAAAAAAATAATTTTAAATGTTAAGTGGAAGAACTTGGCAAACAGTACCTTAGCCAAGTAATAACAGTCAACATCAGTAGTGGTATGTCACGTTGATAGTACGTACTCGAGAAAGAAGAGTGGCAGTGTACTGCTATGATCTTCTTCCCAAAAACTCAAGCCCAGTCTAGTCATGAGAAGAATATCAGACAAATCCCAATAGAGGGACATGCTACAGAATACTTGACCATTAGTCCTCAAAATTGTTAAGGCCATCAAAAACAAGGAAAGTCTGAGAAACTGTCATAACTAAGAGCCTAAGGAAGACATGACTACTAGCTGCAAGGTAGTATCCTGGATGGGATCCTGGAACATAAAAAGAGCATTACAGAAAAACTAAGGAAATGTAAATAAAGTATGGACTTTAGTTATTAATAATGTATCAATATTGGTTCACTAATTGTGACAAATGTATCATAGTACTATAAAATGTTAATAATAAGGTAAAATGGGTATGGGGTATATAGGAACTCTCTCTGTACTATCTTCAAAACCATTCTGTAATACTCTAAAATAAGTTTTTTTTTCTTTTAAATCTGCCAACTAGATGCTGAAGGCTTACAAATTGCAGGGGTGTTTTTGTTTTTGTTTTTGTTTTTCAAAAAAAAGTAAGCATATGGCCTTTCTCTTCACTACATCTGTGTCTCTGGGGTAAATACTAAGTACTGCAATTGCTGGGTCATAGAGTAGCTCTATTTTTAATTTTTTGAGGAACCTCCACACTGTTTTCCAAAGTGGCTATACCATCTTGCATTCCCACCAACAGTCTAAGAGGGTTCCCCTTTCTCCACAACCTCTACAACATTTGTTCTTTCTTGCTTAGCAATGTCCACAATAGCCAAACTGTGGAAAGAGCCAAGATGCCCTTCAACAGACAAATGGATAAAGAAGATGTGGTTCATATATACAATGGAATATTACTCAGCCATCAGAAAGGATGAATACCCAACTTTCACATCAACATGGATGGGACTGGAGGAGATTATGCTAAGTGAAATAAGTCAAGTAGAGAAAGTCAATTATCATATAGTTTCACTAATTTGTGGAACATAAGGAATAGCATGGAGGACATGAGGAGAAAGAAGGGAAAAACAAAGGAGGGGGAATCGGAAGGGGAGACGAACCATGAGAGACTATGGACTCTGAGAAACAAACTGAGGGTTTTAGAGGGGAGGGGGGCGAGGGGATGGGTTAGCATGGTGATGGGTATTAAGAAGGGCATGTATTGCATGGAGCACTGGGTGTTATACGCAAACAATGAATCATGGAACACTACATCAAAAACGAATGATGTACTGTATGGTGACTAACATAACATAATAAAATAAAATTTAAAAAAAAAGCAAGCAAAATGGAACCTGAGAACTGGTAATTCTGTTTTCCAGATTTTGCTACAGTACGTAACATCATTGTTGGCAAATCTGGCCTAAAGACTTGCTTTTTCTTTTCTGTTTATAGGGATTTAATTGTAGTCAGTTTTTAAGTTGAAACATATGAGGCCCAAATATCAAGAATCCATAATATCAAAAAGTTATTAAAATTAGCAACTTGAACTCTTGTTCTTGTTCATCACAGACCATATGGAAGGACCTACTCAATACATTTTATAAAATGAAGGTAGCAGTTATAGCAGTTTTCAGTCAAGGGAGACATGTAAGGCCAGAAAACTCTAATGATCATAAGAGTAACTGCATACCAATTATATTATACAGCGGCAAGCATACTAACAAACATAAAATACAGTATGCCAAAGTTTTCAAAGCTATTGATTAAAGTCACCTAGATATTTTATAATTAGATCCAGTAATGTAAAAATACAGTATGCCAAAAGTTTTCAGAGCTATGGATAAGGTAACTTAGACATCTTATAATGAAACCCCATAATGTACACTGATCTCCCGGCCATATCCCTATTTTGAAACTGTTACAAGCATTCAATTACATATTTTATGCAATAAGAAGGTACTGGGTCTATTGTATAGCTTCTAATATTTCTAGGGAAACTAGAAGAATAGCATTCCAGTTGGTCAAACAAAATAATTCTTTAAGTCTATCCATCATCTAAGAAATCTAGCATGAGTAAAATTTAAATTTTGCTTCAATCTCTCACCCTAACATGAAGAAATCAAAAGCTCATTTCCAACATAGTCATCAAAATAGTAAAGGAAAGAGTTCTTTATCAAACTCATTTGTATAGGGTGCACAAGGAGCCTAACATTCAATGTCTCAGTGCTCTAATTTGGAGAGGTCAAGGAAAATCAAGTAAAGCTTAAATCACCAATAAAAATAGCCAACTCAATGCCATCAATACAATGATATGTAACTGTGCACAGCCACTGAAGTTTAACTTGTTAAATTCAGTGGATCAGCTAAGTCTCAAATACTTGACATCCAACTTGAGTTGGACTTTGAGGGACACCAGTGTTAAGTGCTATTTGTCTATAGCCAAAACTATAGTGAGAAAATTGAGTTTTCATCCAATCCAATCTGTAAGACTCGAAGCAGAAGAAGGCATTAGCTCTGTTTAATCATACACATCAGTAGTCTTCACCATCCAAATTTATAAGGTTTGGGGGAACAGTTAGCTCAGTTCAGCTATCAGTTTTCTTCTTTAAGCTGGTAAAAAATTCTCCCAGGATGCTTTCACAAATAAGAATATCTTAGCAGCCACCACAGATCAACTTTTAAAATTCTTTACTTAAGTCAAAAACTCCCATGCAGGTATACATTTTAGCAGCCACCACAGATCAACTTTTAAAATTCTTAAGTCAAAAACTCCCATGCAGGTATACATTTGCTAACCAGGGCCCAGATATCCTGAAAAATTATGAATGCTTTATCATAGCAGCCCCAGGTCTTATGATTTTCTACAATTTAGGGAGGTTGTTAGAGAAATGTGTAGATAAGTTACAGAAAGATAGGTAGAAAAAGTAAAGGGGGATATGGGAAAAGATGCACAAAACCAGGGTCAGAAAACTTCTTCCAATCCTGTATATTAAGGTTCTCTAAGGAAGAAAGTCAGAAAGGAAAACACAATAACCATGTAGGGAAATGCAAAAAAAAAAAAAAAAGAAAGAAAGAAACTTAAGTGCCTTCAATTTTCCAAATGACAAAATGTCATTTTCAAAGATTGAGATACTCAATTCAAGTCTCTGTCTTAATTCATCAGCCATCCCTAGACACTGAAGTTAAGATGGATGGTGATTTGATCTAAGGTTAGAGGCAGAACCAAAGGTCAGGTGTTCTTATTCCCAGTTCAGAACTTTTTCATAATTTTGCCAGCATCTCATTCCTTCTGCCCCCAAACCCATGAAAAAAATAGTGACTCATTCCAGGGGAACCTGGGTGACACAGTCAGTTAAGCATCCAACTCAGTTTCGGTTCAGGTGGTGATCTCATGGTGGTGGGATTGAGCCCCACATCAAGCTCTATGCTCAGAATGGAGTCTGTCTGAGTTTCTCCTTCTCCCTCTGCCCCTCCCCACCCTCACATTCTCTCTCTCTCTCTCTGGAATAAATAAATCTTTTTTAAAAAGTGATTCACTCTATTTAAGAAATTATGTGCTTCATTAAAATGCATTTGCAAAAAGCAAGAAATACTGGTGTAGGGTCTGTAGACCCTCAGCTTATATATCCCCTGAGTAAACTGACCAGGGTGCTCCCTAGTCACACTTTTCATTTTCCCCTTGCCACTTTGTTCATTAAGTATGTTTCTTCCACTCTTCTTCCTCTGTGCCCCACAGAACTTCCCAACATTTTTTATGGTACACATCAAATTGCCCAATACCATAATGATTTGTTCATTTTGGGATCCTCCTTATCAAGAATCATGTCTTTGGTTTTGTTTATTCCAGTGTGACCCAACAAAGTTTGTGGAATTAACATAAGGATTATCTCAATTTTGAAGATGCCCACATTCGCAGAGAATCCCATTTTACAAATGCTAAAGACTTTATTTCAAGCAATGAATTGAAATACAACTCCAAGATTCACCTTTGGATGCTGTCTAGTGCAGGCTTCAATCCACTTAAAGTTGATCCATCCTTCCTCTTGACTGGAGGTACAAAACCAGCTCAGAATTCATCCCTTTAAAACAAATTCCAATAAAGTTATACTTGTATATTAATATAGAATAATTTGATTACTAACAATAGAAGATCTCATAAGCATAGACCAGTGTTTCTCAAATTGGGGTGATAAGAACCCTGGGGGTTTGTGGATATATCTTCATGGATCCCTAAATCCTATATAAATTATATAAAACATTTATATCTTTAATAAAGGTATCTTAAAACTGGAAAACGTTTACATTTCAAATAACTTTAAGTCAGTGTTCCTCAAAACATTTTGTTCCTTTAAAAGGCATTTTATCCTGACAAATTACTTCAGTTTGAGAAACAATGGCATAGACCACATTTCCAAGAAGGCTCAGGACCATTTGTATACTACATTACCCCCAATCAGTCAGACTGGGGGATGTCTTCAGGCACTGGTGGGAAACAAGCCATGAGGAAATATGGATATGAATTAAAATGGGCAGTAAGCAATGCCACTCAAAATGGTTCTTCTTGCTCCTGCCAGGATGCATGGATGTGCACCAAGAAGTCTCAAATATGATGTTAATATTTTTTTCAGCTGGACCTCTGTGTTTGTTTTACATCAGGGAGACTAAGCTTTTTAGCTTACCAATGTATCTGTAGAAAAAGATGAAGGGGAAAGGGTATAATTGACTTCATAAAGTGGGCAATGTCATAGTTTTCTTATAAAACTTACACTTCTCCATTGCCTTCTTGCCAAACAGGTTCCACAAATACCTCCAACTAAAAAGGCATCGCTACTCTCATGTTTTGTGGCAGAGATAGAATAAAAAGGCACAAAAAGCCAATATATCATATTTATACCCCCAATCCCTGAACCTTGAAAAGCTCAAGCTTATAATGAGATTTAACAGTGAACAATTTCCCAGCCTTGGCATATAGCCAAACACAGTAGCTAGGCTTTATCTCTTTAATCACTTTTCATACTTCCAAAAGAGGTAAAAACCAAATTACATTAAAATAAACCAACTGGACTATACATATGGCTGCAATATTAAATCATATCCTGGACCAAAGCGAAAAAGTAAACCCACTTCCCTCTTTAAGTTTATCCAACTAACTTCAAACCCTAGTGGGCTCCCTTTTTAAAATTCTGTAACTTATAATTCACACAATGCAGCACTTGATTATCATTTCCTAAAGGTATTTCAAGTGTGCTTATATTAGCTCCTCGGCAATACATCACAGGAATGAGGTTATAGAGGACCACATCATTTCTACCCCTCACTTTGGTGTAACCCAGCATAGGGCGGGGTATACAGTATTTCTGTTGGTTAACTCATATGGTGATATATATATATATATAATTGCAGATGAGGTAGGAACAGGGAAGGAGACTTACAGGACCCTCTGACTTTTCTACAGGTATCATTTAAGAGAATGAAAATAGAACAGGGAAAAGATTACTTAATAACTACAAAGTAGTACTTACAGTATTCTAAAGAGCCAGAGACTCTTCTTACAGCGGTCCAAGGAGCTAGTAGTGCATACTGCACCCTGAGCTGGGCCGATCTTTTGACATCCTTGTTAGAGGAATAGTATCCTTTTTCAGTGATTACAAAGAACTGCTGTTGTGATGACTAGTTATTTGCTTCAGCAGTTCCATATTAGATACTTCTCTGCCACACCCTGCACACTAGAGGCTAGGATATTATTCATTTTACCAGGAAGCTATCTCACGGTTGAAAATTTATGTCCAGAAGAATGACTAGATCTTGGCTTATTTTTCCTTTAATATAAAACAGGGAAATTGGTCCCATCATTTCTAAGTCCTCACTTCAGTGTAGTGCTTCAGGCTACTTTAAATTAGCAGAATTAAACAGGGTGCATTTTATTTATGTAATAGATTAATCAGGTAAAGTGAACTATGGTTTTCCAAAGTGCCTCAGCATATGTTCTCTCAGTTCATTCTTTTACAGCAATCTTCTTGAAATAAGTGTGGTTGATGATCCAGATGAAGAAATTTAAGGATTAGAAAGTTTAGGTAGTTTTTCTAAAAGTGAACGGTGGTAAAGCCCGAATAAAGAATGGTTTTAAAATGGTGGTAGAGCCCAAAGATATGTGTCTGAAGAGTTCTGCTCTAGAACTCTTGGGAATACTAAAATAGCAAGATTCACAGTGGTCTATCCACAGACCCACCACCCATAGTAAAATGAGAGACACTGGTCATCAGGTACATAGTATAAATGGGTTTTTGGACTTCAAAAATTAAATGACCAGGTTTACAATTCCATCTTGCAAACAGCATTTTTTTTTTATTGTATCCTGGCAACCGGCACTGTACACTAGCAATATACAAGAGGGGAAGAGAGATTCTTGGCCAGGCAATCTGCTCTGGAAGGAAGAATGCACAGATGGTGCTAACCTTTCTTCCTGGGGAGACAATTTTCAACTGATACTTATATTGAAAATCCATAATAAAGGGCAGCAATCTGGCTTTCTAGGCCTGACTTGCCTTGAGCATTTTGCTCAGTAAAGCAGTAACAAAGGTGGGTAGGGACGGTTCCTGTCCCAGAATGTGACAACTGGAATTGGATCATTAACAAATGCAGAAAAAGGAGTGAAGGCCCATCCACTTAATTCAGGTCTGCTTTTGGTAGTCAATACTGCACACTTGACATCAAAGTGGTAGGAAAATCGTGGGCTGATGAGCGGAAAAATGGGACAATCAGTACTGTGTCAATAACACAGAAGGGACTTTGGGTAGTCAGCAATACAATGCAAAGAAGTGGAGGGGTCCATGTCCGATGGGTGGGACTAAGGAAAGTACAACTGAGGCATTACAGCAATATAAAGTGGGTAAGGCAATGACACAGGGATTGTTAATGTTTTAAGTCCAAGAGCAAGGGCCTTGCCCAGTCAACATTCCCCAGCAATAATGCAAAGGGGGGGGGAGGGACAATCTTATTTAATGGCTGAATAGATGAACACCTGAAACTGTGACAAAGGTCCATAGGAAGGGTCCAAGGGTGAGCACGGGTTGGGAAGAGGGAGGATAAGGGGAAGACCATGACTACTTGGAATTTTATAGATAGGAGCAATACAAAAGGAGAGGGAGTATGGGTTGCTATTTGATAGACAAGTTCACAGCATACTGCAATGTTTATACTTAAATTATGTCATGCAAAATTGGGGCTGGGAATGTTTGCCTAACAAGGCCAGGGAGGAAAAACTCATTGCTAATTGCCATTGTGCCCATTAACAGTCCCAGGAGAAGTTTTGTGTGGTCAGCACAAAGTATAATAGTATAGTAATATAGTAATAGTAATTACTATAGTAATGCAAAGGGGGTTTAAGGGAATGTTATCCTAAATCTAACAGAAGGGAACATAGATAATTGCCCATTGACTGTCCAAGAAAGGGACCTTAGTCAGTACCCCTGATGTATACAAAGGGAGTACATAGGTCCCATCATTGCTAGTGGGGCATATTAATTGTCCAAGAGCTGAGGTCATGATAGCAGTCCTCAGCAGCAATCCAAAGGCAATGGTAGGGGCATAAAGCATCCTTTCACACTGCACAAATCCACAAACAAATACAAGTATGTATATTAATACTCTCAGGAAGAGCTCATTTATGGTTAACATGCCCCTGATGCAAAGGGAGTTTGAGGGGATGCAATCCTAGTCCAACAGAAAAGATGGACAATTGCAATTATACACATTAAAGTCCAAAAGAAAGGGCATTAGGAAAATAGCATCTCCTTACTCCAAAGCAAAGAGGGTACAGGGGTTCTAGTATAAGGCATGCTTAGCAAACTGCATTTATACGCATGAACTTTCCAAGTGAAAGAGTTTTAAATAGTGGACACTACCTGCTAAACATGCTAAGGAAGTAGGTAGGGTCCTTATTGAGTACATAAAACAGGAAAAAATGCAATTGCACGTACTAACAGTCCAAAAGAGGGCCTTAGTTCATCAGCACACTCTGCTGTATTGCAAAGGGAAGGTGAGGGTATAGGACCTTAGTCTACTGAAGACAACAGAACAATTTCAATTATGAATGTTAGCGGTTTGCTACAAGGACCTTTGGGAGAAAAGAGTATCCCCTGCAGCAGTGCAAAGGAGGTATGATAGTTTTGGAAGTGACAGGGTTGTGGAAAACTACAATTCTGCGCATTAACTATCCAAATGTAAATGTCTTAGCAATGGGCACCACCTACTGGAAGGCTTAGAAGTAGGGGTGGGTGGTGTCTCCTCATCTAGTGCCTAAGAACCCAGACAAATGCAATTATGCACATTAACAGGACAAGTTAGGGGTCAGCAACCTTGGTATACTGCAATGACATACAACAGGGTAGGACGAACTAAGCTGCAATTATGTACATTAATGCCTAAGGGATATGGTATGGTTAATTAAAACCATGTACCTTGTACAAATATAAGGATCTTAAAGTAATGGGCACTCCCTGCTAAAAGGTAAAGGGAGTGGGGAGAGGGGTGTCCTTAATTCAGTGTACAGAAACATGTACAAATGCAATTACGCATAACCACAGGCCATGAATAAAGGCCTTAGTGATCAGTACCCCTGCTATACTACAAAAGGGGTCTGAGAGGGTAGTACCTTATTCAAATGGGATGAGCCATGTGCAGTTATGCACATTAATATCCATGGTGCATGGTTGTGGTCAATTACAATTGTGTTCCTTGACTGCTCAAGTGTAACAGCCTTGTAGAGGGGGCACTCCCTGCGTAATAGATAATAGATAAGAGGGAGTGGTGAGAGGTGTTCTTCTCTAGTACACAGGAACCCAGACAAATACAATCATGCATCTTAACAGGCCAAGAAATGGGACCTTATGGGTCAGAATTTCCTGCAGTACTTCAAAGGCAGTGTGAAGGGTAAGAATCCTAATTTAATTGTCATTATGTACATTAACAGTTTGAGAAAGAGGCCTTAAATTGACAGTATCCCATGCAGTAAAGCTTAGAGGTTCTGAAAAGAGTCAGGGACCCAAGTTAACTCAAAGGACAGTGGACAACTGAAACTACACACATCCACAGTCCCAAGAGAAAGGCTTTAATGTGATCAGTCACCTCTGTTTCAGTAAGTGCAAAGTCCTGAACTTAGGCACAGTTGTGGACAACTGAGTGTGTACAAAACAACAAGGTTGTGCACATTAAACTGCATTAGTGTGTAATATCTTGAGTAGTAGGCACCTCCTGCTAGAATATAAATAGTATGGGGAGGATGCTTACCTGGTGTACAGGTATAAGAGCAAATGTTTAGTATGCACAAACAGTCCAAGGGAGTGAATCTTGGCTAGTCAGAAGCCCCTGGAATAATGTAAATTGGGCAAGGAAATGAGATCTTACTCTAACATAAGGGAGCATGGATTGCTCTAATTATGCACATTTAAACTGCACAGGAGAAGCAGTCATAGTTGGTCAGCACCCCTGACACAGAGAAGGTGTTATGGGGGTGGGATCCCAGTGCAATTTGGCTTAACTGTCCAACAGAAAGGCTGTAGGTCAGTACCCCCATATAATACTAAGAAGTAAGGATATTAGCTTATCAAGAGGGCACATGCACACTGAGTTCCAAGAAAAGAACTTTGAGATATTAGCATCCCCTGATGTAATATAAAAAAGGTGGGAAATTATTTTAAAGAGAAGGACCATAATCATTGGAATTTTGCACACAAATAGTCCTGGAAAAAAGTAACTGAGGTAATTAATTCCAAGAGAGTACAGAGGACTTAAATGAAAGACAAAGTGTGGTCAATTACCATGGTTCACTTTATCCTAGTACAAAGGTCTTAAATAAAGTGCATCCACTACTGAATACATGGGAAATTAGTGAAATCTTATCTACTGCAGAGAAAAAGGAACAAATACAATTATGCACATTAACAATGCAAAAAAAGGGGGGGCCTTGGTTTTCAGCAAACCCCTACTGTAACGTTAACAGGGTGTGAGTGAATGGGATACACCTTAATAGTCCCAAGTACCTTCTGAGGTAATGTAAAAGGAGTGAGAGGGCATGGGACCCTAGACTAACAAGAGGGACCACAACTGCATTTAAGCACATTCACAGTCCCTAGTACCCTCTGCTATAATGCAAAGACAGTAGGAGGGCATGGGAAAATATACTAACAAAGGGAACCACTGCTAAAATTAAGCACTTTATCCTCCCCAAATATACTCCCAGATAATGTAAAGGGAGTTGGTGGGCATGGGATCCTACAAGACAGAAGGTACCACAGCTGTGAGCATTTGACAGGCCCAAGTATTCTCTGCTGTAATGCAGAGTTGGAGGTGTAGAATCCTAAACTAACAGAAGGGAACACGGCTGCAATTAAGCACCTTTCAGTACGAGATCTGCTCCCAGGTAATATAAAGGGAGGAGGTGGTCATGACTAGCAAAATGGACCACACCTGTATTTAAGCACATTAACAGTCCCAAGTACCACGTGCTGTAATACAGCAAAGGGAGTTAGAGGGCATCGGATCCTAGACGAACAGAGGGCACCACAGGTGCAAATGAGCACTTTAACAGTCCCCAAAGACCTCCCAGGTAATGTAAAGGGAGTAGAAGCGGATGGGATCCTAAACCAACAAAAGTGACTACACTTTAAGTGTTAAGTACTTTAACAGCCCCAAGTACCCACTGCTATAATGCAAAAGAGTAGGAGGGCATGGGAAACTAGACACACAAAAGGGACCACAGCTCCAACTGAGCATTTAAACAGTCCCAAATACATCCTCAGGTAATGCAAAGTGAGTTGGAGGACATAGGATCCTAGGTTAACAAAAGGGATCAGGACTGCAATTAAGCCCATTAAAAGTCCCAAATATCCTCTGCTGTAATGGACAGAAAGTTAGAGGGCATGGGATGCTAGACTAACAGAAGGGTCCACAGCTGCAAGTAAGCATATTACAGTCTCAAATCTGTTCCTAAGTAATGCAAAGGGAGTTGGAAGGGACTGGAAACTAGACTAATAGAAGGGACAACAACTGTAATTAAGCTCGTTAACATTCCCGTATCTGCTCCCAATAATGTAAAGGGAGAAGGGAATGAGATCCTAGACTAATGGATGGGACCACACCTGCAATTAAGTACTTTAACAGTCCCAAGTACCATCTGTTGTAATGCAAAGAAAATAGGAGGGCATGGGAACGATACTAACAAAAAATGCTCGATTTAGTTGTGTGGCGCCTTCTAACAGTCCCAAAAATCCTCCCAGGTAGTGTAAACAGAGTAGGAGGAGATGGGATCCCAGGAATTACAGAAGGTACAACAGCAGCAATTAACAATCCCAAGGACCCTCTGTTGTAATGTAAATTGAATAGGAGGACATGGGAAACTATACTAATAGAAGAGACAACAGCTGCAATTAAGCAATTGAACGGTTCCAAATACACTCCCAGGTAACACAAAGGCAGTTGGAAGGCTTGGGATACTAGACTAACAGAAGGGACCACAGCTACAGTTAAGCCTATTAACAATCCAATGCCCTCTGCTGTAATACAAAGGGAGTTGGCCAACACTGGGATCCTGTAACAACAGAAGGGACCACAGGTGCGATTAAGAACTTTTTAGTTCCAAATACTACCAGGTAATACAAAGGTGTAGGAGGACATATTAGTAGTCCCAAGTAGTCCTTGCTGTGTGCAGAAGGAGTTGGAACACACGGGACCCCAGACTAACAAACGGGACCACAGCTGCAAACAAGCACATTAATAGTCCCAAATCCACTTCCAGGTAACAAACAAGCACATTAATAGTCCCAAATCCACTTCCAGGTAATACAAAGTGAATAGGAAGGGATGGGACCCTAGACTAAGGGACCATAGCTGCAACTAAGCACTTTAACAGTCCCAAAGACAATCCCAGGGAATACAAAGGGAGTTAAAGGATGTGAGATCCTAGACTAACAGAAGGGACCGTGGCTGCAATTAAACACCTTAAAGGTCTCAAGTACCCTCTGCTGTAATGCAAAGGAAGTAGGAGGGCATGGGAAACTAGACGAACAGAAGGGACTGTAACTGCAGTTACGCACAAGAACAGTCCCAAATGCCCTGCCATGTAATGTAAAGGGAGTAGAAGGGGAATGGGATCCTAGACTTGACAGAAGGCACCACAGCTACATTCAAGCACCTTAAAGGTGCCAAGTACCCTCTGCTATAATGCACAGGGAGTTGGAGAGGAGGGAATCCGACATTAACATGAGGGACAAGGCTTCATTTGAGCATATAAGAGACTTCATATACATTATGTATAATGCAAAAGTAGTTAGGTGGGGATAGGATTTAAGCACAATAACAGTCTCATGTAAACTCTGTAATGCAAACTGAGTAGGAGGGGATGGGATCCTAGACAAACTAAAGGGACTCTGGTGGCAGTTAAGCACATTTACAGTCCCAAGTATCCTCTGCATAAAGGCAAAGGAAATAGGAGGGGATGGGATCCTAGACTAACAGAAGGCACCATAGCTGCCTTTGAGGACCTTAAAGATCCCAACTACCCTCTGCTGTAACGCATAGGGAGTTGAAGAGGATGGAATCCTACACTAACATAAGGGACATGGCTTCATTTAAGCACATTAACAGTCCCATGTACGCTCCATGATAATGCAAAGGGAGTAGGCAGGGATGGGGTTCTGGTCTGTAAGAAGGGACCATAGCTGCATTAGAGCACATTAACAGTCCCTCACACCCTCAGTGGTAATGCAAACCCTGTAGGAGGGGATGGGATCCCAGACAAACAGAAGGGACTATAGCAGCAATTAGGCACATCAACAGTCCCAAGTACCCTCTGCAGTAATGCAAAATAGGAGAGGATGGAAACATAAACAGAAGGGGACACAGCTGCATTTAAGCACCTTAAAGGTCTCAAGTACCCTCTATGTAATGCAAAGGAAGTGAGGTGGGGATGGGATCCTAGACTAACAGAAGGCACCATAGCTGCCTTTGAGGACCGTGAAGATCACAACTACCCTCTGCTGTTAATGCATAGGGAGTTAGAGAGGATGGAATCCCTACACTAACATATGGGCTGTAGCTGCATTTAAGCAACATTAACAGTCCCATGTACCCTCCATGATGCAAAGGGAATAGGTGGCGATGGAATCCTCGTCTAACAGAAGGGACCATAACTACATTTAAGCACATTAACAGTTCCTCGCACCATCGGTGGTAATGCAAATGCTGTAGGAGGAGATGGGATCCTAGACAAACAGAAAGGACTATAGTGGCAAGTAGGCACATTAACAGTCCCAAGTATCCTCTGCAGTAATGCAAAGGGAGTTAGGTGGGGATGGGATCCTAGACTATCAGAAGGCACCACAGCTGTGTTTAAGAACCTTAAAGGTCCCAACTACCCTCTGCTGTAATGCACAGGGAGTTAGAGAGAATGGAATCCTACATTAACATAAGGGATCATAGCTGCACTTAAGCACATTAACAGTCCCAAGTACCCTCTGCAATTATGCAAATGCAATTAGGTGGGGATGGAATCCTACATTAACAGAAGAGACTTTAGCTGCCTTTAAGCACATTAACAGTCCCTTGTACTTTTTGTGGTATTGCAAACCCTGTAGGAGGGACAGGATCCTAGACAAACAGAAGGGACTGTAGTGGCAATTCGATACATTAACAGTCCCTTGTACTTACTGTGGTAATGGAAACCCAGTAAGAGGATAGCATCCTAGATTAACAGAAGAGACAGTAGCTGCATTCAAACACTTAATTGTCCCTTGTACCTCCTGTAGCAATGCAAACGATTTGGGAGGGGATGGGATCATAGACAACAGAAGGGACTTTAGTGGCAATTAGGCACATTAACTGTCCCAAGTATCCTCTGCAGAAATGCAAGGAAGTAGGAGGGGATGGGATCCTAGACTAACAGAAGGCACCATAGCTGCCTTTGAGGACTTTAAAGAACCCAACTACCCTGTGCTGTAACGCATAGGGAGTTGAAGAGGATGGAATCCTACACTAACATAAGGGACCATGGCTTCATTTAAGCACATTAACAGTCCCACGTATGCTCCATGATAATGCAAAGGGAGTAGGTAGGGATGGGATCCTGGTCTAAAAGAAGGGACCATAGCTGCATTACAGCACATTAACAGTCCCAAGCACCCTCTGCAATAATGCAGACAGAGTTAGGTGGGGACCAGGTCCTAGGTTAACAGAAGAGATCTTACCTGCGTTTAAACACATTAACAATCCCTTGTACCCTCTGTGGTAATGCAAACGGTGTGGAATGGGATGCGATCTTAGACTAACAGAAGGGATTGTAGCAGCAATTAGGCATGCTAACAGTCCCAAGTATCCTCTGCAGTAATGCAAAGTAGGAGAGGATAGGAACATAAACTAACAGAAGGGGCCACAGCTGCATTTAAGCACCTTGAAGGTCAAAACTACCCTCTGCTGTAATACACAAGGAGTTGGCCAGGATGGAATCCTACAAACTTAAGGGTCTGTGAATGCATTTAAGCACATTAACAGTCCCATGTACCCTCCATGACAATGTAAAGGGAGTATGTGGGAACGGGTTCCTACTCTAATAGAAGGGACCACTGCTACGGTAAGTTCATTAGCAGTCTCAAGTACCCTCTGCAACAATGCAAAGAGAATTAGGTGGGGATGGGAACCTAAGTTAACAGAAAAGACGGTAGCTGCATTTAAGCACCTTAACAGTCCTTTGTACTCTCTTTGGTGATGCAAACCATGCAGGAGAGGATAAGAATCTAGACAAACAGAAAAAACTATAGCGGCAATTAGGCACATTAACAGTCCCAAGTAGCCTCTGCAGTAATGCGAAGGAAGTAGGAGATGGGAACAGAAACAGAATGGGCCATACCTGCACTTAAGCACCTTAAAGGTCTCAAGTACCCTCTGCTGAAATGAAAGGAAGTAGGAGTGCGTGGGAAAGTGGATTAACAGAAGGGACTATAGCTGTAATTAAGTTCATTAACAGTCCCAAACACCATCTGCTCTAATGCAAAGGAAGTGGGAGGGCATAGGATCCTAGACTAAAAGAAGGGACTGTAACTGCAGTTACGCACAAGAACAGTCCCAAATGCCCTGCCATGTAATGTAAAGGGAGTAGAAGGGGAATGGGATCCTAGACT